AAAAGGGGACAAGATTGAAAAATTTTAGCGAAGAAGAAGACGACGACGACGACGACGACGACGACGACGACGACGACGACGACGACGACGTATCTGAATGACATAAAATCGGGCAAAAAAATGCATACACCTTATGCGCTTGTGCATCAAATGCACTTATGGACATCGCTATTACAGCATTGTGATTGGAAAAATATAGACTTTTTCACAAAATAGGCATTTACCGATAATATTCATATAATTAAAAGATATAATAATTTATTGCTATAGAAACGTAATCCGTCCGGTAAAGGATACACTGTAGCGTCTCTGTAAGTACAAAAATATTTCCTGACCGTTATGTAGCGAAAAAATATACTTGGCGGGAGACGCTACCGCGTCTCCTGATTTAATATAAAAGTTACTCAATATTTTAAAGAATATAATAATGTTTTTAAGATATCTATAAAATAATAATTGCTTAAAAAACGTAAAGTTTACCAGTAAAAGATGTAAGAATGAAATAATTGCTGATCAGGCAAACTGGCGGAAATGGCGACCACAAATAATACTGAGTAACTGCGAAATTATTGAATTGGCAATCAATCATTTCCCCAAACTGACAATGGAAATTATTAATGATGTATCATGTTAACATCAACTATAAACAGAATATTGATATTGATATTCGCAGAGTGACTAGTTTAATTTGCTGTTTAGTTTATTATAACGCCGATGTCCGATAACGCATAATTCAGATTATTTATCGACCACTTCCGACGCGTGTAACATAAAGACATTCCTATAACATAGGATATTATTTTTGTTACTCTATTGCTGCTAGATGAGAACGTGGATTTCAATATCCACTTTTTCTCTCTCTTTAAAAACTTATTGTAAAAACTTGCACATTGTTTTTAATTTTAATCTATTCATGAATTTATTATGGCTATCTCAATATTCTCGTTGAGAACAAAATCTTAAATTAATTAAGATGTTATTAAGAAATAAAAAATAACGAGGATATTCCGTACATATGGCCGACGCGACGACAAATAATTTTGTTTACCAAAATATACCTACATCCGCTTGGTCGATTTCATTAAATGAAATTTCGGAGCTTTGGCGGAGAAATGCGGTTCCGTGTCGTAACAGTGCGGCGACGGGACACTCTGAAAATCGATAGGAAATCGCTCGGTTGGCGGATCTTCCTGTGTAACGCTAATGCATTTAGGAAGCACGTGTGTGGACGTTCACTTGCCCACTCGACTAGTTAAGCTGATTAGTACCGCAACAATTAGCGCAGCTGCGCAGATTCGTAAGTCGTCGCGGAAGGAGCATTAACGAATGCACTGTAGCATTAACCGCGCTAAGCGAAACGGCGAATTATCGACAACAAAGCGGAAAACTCGACCTGCTGTCGGCTTGCGCCGCGGGCAAACAAACGGGGGAGACGGCCGTTAACTTTAAAGGCGGTCAACTCGTGCGGGGGAAGCGCGATGACAACTGCGTCGTGAAAGAGCCGCGCGAGAAATATTTACAATATATGTAAAATGCGGCACTTTCGCGCAATTAATGTCGAGACCGGTCTGATATTGAACGTGGATAATTTTTCGTCCCGCCCGCCCGCGTTCGATGTGTCATAATCGCTCGGCACGCTGTCGCGTGTCATTAATAACTGCTTAATCTATTACGTAATTTCATATTATCGATGCCGAATTACATAATGCAATTGCGCAATTAACTACTGACGGGAGGTAAAAGAGCGAAGAAAACACGAGGCAGAATCAGCTCCTCGTCGGCTGCAGCGGCGTTAAGCCGCTTAAATTTCGCCCATCGTTTAAGCTTCTTTGCTTCTTGTTGAGCAATGCGGCAAAAAGTACGAGTTTGACTTAATAATAGGAGCGATTGCAGACAGACAGGATATACATATAGATAGAATTATAGGATATATCTCGCGCGATATTCAGAGCGCGCCCGTTTAACGATCTTTAAGTTCCTGTTAAATGAGCAATATGCAAATAAGCATTTGCACCCCATCGGCGAGCCATCGGTAGAACCCCAATACGGATTATCAAGTGTACACGTAACCCCAATGCAGGGGTTTCTGCATCGCCACGTTTCTGCTCACGCTATCATTATTTCCACAAACAAACGGTTCCGTTTTACAGAATGCCGGGCAGAAGTTCCCTTTTGCACACAATTTTTTTTTGTAGTATTTTTATAATTACAGAAAGTTTTACATTTAGATAAAAGAAAAAGTGCGCAACTATTTCAGTCGCGCGTGCTGCTATGATATAACTATAGGTTTTTAATTACAAAAAACACCGCCCCCCGAAGAAGAAGCTGTGATCAATCAATGTCGCTGAGTGACTCGACAGTGAAAAGATGAACGTGCCGGTTTTCGTTCCTTATCAAATATTGATACACGTGCATACGTATACGCGGAGACGAATGCGGTGTATACTTACTTTAACTAGACAGCTCGCCAGTACAGCGTGAGATCGATCTTAAAGGAGCATCGCGCGTCTGTGCGCGACTGTCAGTTTCGATTTAGTATAGCGTCATGTCGCGCTCGCGTCAGCAATTTGGCGCGATTCCCCACACGTTGGGAATATGTGTGGAACATCCCGGATATTTATATCCTCGGTTATGCTATTTGCTGGCTGCTTATATGTAAACATAGTGTCGCGCGCGCGCGCGCCGCACATCCGTCGATTATGCGCTCGCAATTCGATTTCGGCAGCGGCGCGGGCAAATATGAGAAATGCCGAGATGCATCGCGTACTGAGATTAAATTAGTTTGTCCTTTTGCCGTGGTTATTTGTCGAAACGGACAGATTTATCTAATGGCGCGGATGGGTTACCTGCAGCCGTCGCCAAAATCGATCGATTGTCCGCGCAGCGCGACGCTCGCGATCGTTTGCTGCGATTAATTAATGATTGCCGATGTGACGTATACCGCCGATCCAAATTATCGGATCGATATTACGCGCGGGGGGGGGAGGGAACGGGAGTTCAGCGGAATGCTTTGTGTCGGCTATTCAGTTTGTCGCAGTTGTTTCATATTCATACACATTATTGCATTATTACTTCGTAAATTTTCGCTTTATAGATTAAAAGCTTTTAATATTAAACATCAAAGCGGTCGGCAGTTTCAATATTTTAATTTATACTTTTTAAATTGCTAATTATAAAGTGAATGCATAATTACGTGATCAATTAAAGAATATTGTCAGATAATTCAATTCTCTGTGATAAAATAGAGGGATATTATTTAGTATATAATTTATAATAATGTTTTAATGTGCTTTTAAGTATATTGAATAAAATTAGAATTTTATGCCTAAGTTTTATTACATTATGACAATATTTATACGGAGAGAATTTTATTTTAAAATTTATTCTGAAAATCATGTTAATCATAGAACAACATAGTATTTCGATGAATTTTATATGATTTTTACTATTTTTTTAAATATATACTACAAGAAATTTATTGTAGTGTACAGTACAAAAAACAGAGAAAATTACATAAAATTTGTTGAAAAATTATGTTGTCCCACAGTTAACATGATTTTTAGGATAAATTTTAAAAGGAAATTCTCTCCGTGTGATAATACAAGATTTTTATTAGAGATGAGCAAATTAAGCATGATTGAATCGGATCGAATCGAAATTTTTTAACATGTTTGAAATCGAATCGAATCAAATCAAATCTCTTTAATTCGAATACAAATCGAATCTGAATCAAATTTTCCCAGATTAACATTACACGTTAATTTAAACGAAATAAATATCAAAATTTATAATTTACATTATTTTACGCAATGATTTAAATAAACTGAAAATCTGTTTTCAATTTACATCTCATTACAAAAGATCGTGATCTTATGTGACATTTTGAACTAGAAAATATTAATAATATGTGTATAAACGAATAGTTAGAATGCTTTCGAATATTTTATTGATCTATACATGAATACATTACACATATCGAAAATACATTACATATATCTTATTTATTAGAATAATTGGTCCCGCGGGTGATGTAAATGAACTAAATAAAATAGGTGATCGATTCGAAATCGAACCATTGTTGATTCGAAATTCTCAAACTATTCGATTTCAAATCTTGCAGATTCAAAAACGAACTCGATTCGAATCTACTGTGATTCGATTCGATTCAAATTCGAACTATTTGCACACCTCTAATTTTTATATTTCATTTTATTTCCTGGCAATGATACTGAAATGTGAAATAGATTATATATAATGAGTACATCTTTATTCAGGAAAAGAATTTTTGTTTAACAATAAGAATGCCTTACCGGATTATTGCAGTGCCATGGCAAGAATTTGCGCGAAGCTTTGTCAAAAGCTTTGATCCGCATTCAGGTTTGCCGGAGCCGATTAATAGAGTCGGTTTGATCAACCGACAAGCCAATGTACGTGTCTAGCTGGATGCGGAAGGATTAAGGCGTTTGCTACGGAAACACTGGATCGGCAGCTTGGTGGTTAATTGAGAATCTCGAGATATTGACCGACGCGGGATCGATAGGCGAACGATATTCACGAAGACAAAGGGGCGGGCCGGACATATGCTGAAGTGGTCATTTGTCTGCGATTTACGTGAAGATTGACGGTAACCCCGCTCGTTACTCGCTTGATCCCCAAGTTTAACGCCACTATCGGAGCTTATTGCGTCACAAGGTAGAATTTCAGCGAGACTTACACTTCAATCTTCAGATGGATGCACAAAATCCTGAAACGTAAAGTTGAAAATGAGGGAGCAGCACTTTAAAGCACGGAAAACCTGTATTTTCCTCATTGAAATTTTAATTTTCATAAATTTTTCAAGGAATATATCCTCGATTGTCCTAAAAATGTAGAATTTTGAGAGTGAAAAATAAACCATTGAGAGAGAAACTGTGGGATCAAATATTTTATATGTAGATGTATGTACACGGAAAAAATTTTTTTTTAAATTTACTCTGCAAATCATGTTAATTGTGGGACAATATAGTATTTAGGCAAATTTTATTGTGCACTACAATAAATTTTCCAGTAGTAAAATACAGTAAAATTTATTGTAGTGTACAGAAAAATTTGCCTAAATATTATATTGTCCCACAATTACCTAACATGATTTGCAGAGTAAATTTAAAAAAAAATTCTCTCCGTGTAGGCTTAAAACTATTCCAGAAAAATTAATTTTTGGGACGCGTTGTTTTATTTTTTCTATTATATTACCTGCAGAACTCTGTTTCTGTTTACATTTAAAAAAATTTTTTAGCACTCTTTTCTTCGTACGAAGAAAAAAGGGCTTCACGGATACTTTGAAAAATGATTAAGCACAAATAGTCACAACTCACGAAATTTCGATTTCGTCGACCATCATCGAACATATTTTACGGAACAAAGAGACTAGATTTTACTTGGCACTAATTGTAAGTATAACAATGCGAACTTCCTCGTGGATCGTAATAAAAAAAATTAAAAAAAAAAGAAATTTACCGAATAAATCGTCAAACGCACAGCCAGTTCATGGAAGAGCCCATTTAAGTACTTAAGAGTGGCACAATGGCTGCGGACGAATGCAAACTTGACAAAAGGTGCATTACTTAGTTCTATTGAAGTCTTCTTTGTCTCCGTGAAACAAATAAGATTTTTCATTAGATCCTGATTCCTGCAGGATTCATTGTCGCATACGCTATCCTGAACGCAGAAATTAATTTCGTAGATAGGAAACCTACATATACCAAAAGTGTATTTTTTATATAAAATTAATTTATTATAAAAATTATTTTTTACATAAAAATGATATATCACAAATACGTCATATATATTACATATATTACAAATATATAATCTTATCAACTAGAACTTGTTGGATTTATTTAATTTTTTTAGACTATTTAAAATTTTAAATATATAAATGATTTTAAAATAATTTTAACAAAAACTTTATATAATTTTTTTCTCTCCTTTCATTTATGTATTATAACACAATTATATAACAACTATCTAACATTTTAAAGTATCTCAATTTTTCAAAATGTTCGAATATCAGGAAAAAGCGTTAAAGAGCCAAACGCAAGGTGAAATTTGTTTAACCAATTATAATTTTAACATTAACAAATTAAGAATAGATCGACAAAATACAATACAAAAAACAATATCAAAAAACCTCGACGTTTCGACCGTAAATATGTGGTCATCTTCAGAGAGGTAGGCGGTAACGCATTATATAAAAAACATAACTTACATCATTTTTTTTTTTATATAATGCGTTACCGCCTACCTCTCTGAAGATGATTACATATTTAGAGTCGAAACGTTGAGGTTTTTTGATATTGTTTTTTGTATTGTATTTTGTCGATCTATTCTTAATTTGTTGATGTTAAAATTGTAATCGGTTAAGCAAATTTCACCCTGCGTTTGGCTCTTTAACGCTTCTTCCTGATATTCGAATTGTTTATTCGTAAGAGCCTTATCTGGACTTTTTTAAGTTTTCAAAATGTATATTAAAATATCTATATTGAGTATAATATTTTAATTAAAAAACTATAAATATAAATTTGCCTGATAATATCCGATAAGAATATAAGATTTTATATGAAGGACTCTGGCAGAGAGAAGATAGCATTATTAAAATAAATACAGCCTTTCAATTTTTCCCGCGATAAATCCTGTTAATCAATCCCATCGATTGGCCTGCCGAAATAATCGATCCGATCGTAACTCGCCGTACAGCAGCCTTGCTGCAGCTTTAATATAGAAGTAACGTGCTTTTTACGGTTATCTCGACACGCCTGTAGTTTATGCATTTTTCTACATTACGGGTGATAAAACCCGGCGCGTTTTATCGCCACTGAATTTCCATGGTTACGCAATGAGCGATGGCGCGAGGAGAGTTTTATGAAATCGCATGCGCCATGTAACGCGCGTCTTTGCGCAAGTAAAAAAATTTTTATTTCATTCCGAGGGCGAGCGGGTGGCTTTCAGCCAGCAACACTGCGGGCAGTTTTAAATGCACGACCTAAAAAAAGAAAAAAAAAGAAACGGATGCGTCCGCATGGCTATGTGTGTCCATTAAATTAAAGAAAAAAACCGCATTGCTAATACCGAGAAGTGGTTTACGGTATACACCAGTAATGATCCTCTCCGAAAGGGATTATGTTTTTCCAAGCAAAGATGAATGCGTTTACGTGTCTCGTTTTAATTAAAGAATTAAACGAGGATCGCGAATGTACTCGCGGGTAAACAATAAACATTTTTAATTTTGTTTCTCAAACGTTACAATTACAATGAATGACAGGCATATGTAATCTTAACAATATCGCATTATTTTCCAAAGTCACATATGTCGATCGTGAAAAATGTTACACGATCAATATAATATTTCGCGCGAATTACGATGCACGAGTTACATATTTAAATTTACATTCGTTATTTACGTTTTTATAATTTCTTTTTCGCTTTTTTTTTCGCGAGAACCGCTATTCGCGTCGGGCAAAACAAATCCTGCGACGGAGCGTTAACAATACACCCGTACAAAATAAAGCAAATAATTCCAACTCCTGTTGGAGGGGTCACACATCGAGTTTTCGAAATTCGTCGCACCGCGTTCTGAACGCGAACTGCAGTTTAGTCTTTGAAGAGTTCTCCGCGCGCGAGCGCGCGGAAAAGCGTATACCGTGCGCTCGCCGCGCGACTGCAAATATTTTCCTAAAACAAAACAAAACAAAAAAAAAGGGCGAAACACCGCAGTTTCGTTGCAGTGCAGTGAGTTCGGGCCAAGTTGTGCGCTCCGTCATACATACTCTACTCCGATGCAGTTGCACGCGGGCGTCGGCCTCGCTTGATCAAACAATAACGCGTATACCGATGCATACGTATACGCACGGTCGCGTGAGCGCGTGTAGCTTTGCGGTGGACCGGCGCGCCATGCATGCGGCTCCCCCTGCCATCCTTTCACCCCCTTCCACCCTCGATTCGACGCACGGCAGCCCGACGGCTTTGTTTCCTGCGCGAGGTGGCGGTACATCAGCGGATTTCGCTCGCCGTTATTTTACCGAGCGCATCGTTATTACCTGATTTCGTCTATTTGGAGGTTCCGGAGTCATTGTTCCTGGTCAACTGAGCCGCCGTTGATTGCTCCTGACGTATACGATTCGTAACGACGACGCCCGTTAAATCCGTCTGCAGTTGCCGGGTATAACGCACTCAATACGGGATTTTTACGGTGCCGTTCTTCGCGTCATAAAAATCGCATCGAGAAACTGCATTGCCGAACGAGTCCGCGATGTTGGCTCAACAGTAATGACCGCACGGAAAGAACGATTTTGCTGGATTCAGGTCTGAAAATAATTTTTGTTATACAATCAAAATAATTTTATTGGAAAGTCAAACTGATTGCTAGATTATCAAAATAATTTTGTTGGAAAGTTAAAAATGCTTATCATTTTTTACTTTCTAATAAAATTATTTTGATGATTCAACAATAATTATTTTCAGATCTGTGTTTAGCAAAATTTTTAGATCTTCCAGCAAAATCGTTCTTTCCGTGCGAACATAATAGATCCGTGTGCGCAATATGTCGAAACAATAATATATCCCGTCGCTAACTTATAATATAATCAGGACTCATCCACTGTGGTGTTCCACTGTTAATTTCAGTAACTCGAAGCTGCAACATTTAAAGTAATTACCAAAAATAATTAGTATATAACAATAACATTTTGACAAAAATTACGCAAAGAAATTACTTGCAAGTTTTGTGATATTACAATCTAATGTGCTGTGCCAGAATCTTAAAAGAAACAGTATATTTTTCCTTGCCACATATCGATTCACAATATTCCAGCAACAGCAAACGTCTTCAAAGTACTAGTTCAACTGTACAGCAATGTCGTATCAATCGGTTCCATATGTTGTTGCCAATGTTGTGCCAATAGCAGCGTTTACCACAGCGCGATGTTACACCCCAATGGTCAAACTCAGCCTTGGCGCATTGTTGCAGGTAACCAGTACTGGCGCGACTTGCAAAGATATTTACCCGATACTGGACAGTGAACAATTATCGCCAGCGGTTGAAGCTGTTGCAATTAGTATTAATTATAATTTGCAAATTGTCCGCGTTGCCACAAAGATGAAACATAACAGAAGTAAGCAGAGAATATTGCAAAATATTTACAAAAATAAGTTCTAAGTGATAAAAAAAAGTAAATTGCAAAGATCGGCGTGCACAGAATTTTTTTTATAATAAAATCGACGGAAAATCGTCGGTAAATTATTTTAAAAACGTTTACCCAAAATCTTTCTGATTATGTCATTATAAAATCACTGCACCGCTGTGGCCTCCGCGTCAGGCTCCATCCGATTATCGCGTTCTATGAAAAGGTAATGCATGGGTAACGAGCTAATAGAAATGTAAATGACGATGAATTTAAAATTCAATTTGAAAAACTCGCTGGCAAAAGCCGTCGCGGCACGGGACCTCTAAATTTCTTACGTGGGAAGAAAAAACACGGATAATATTATATTTCACGGTAATACATAATTTTATATATATATATATATATATATATATATATATATACACGTTCGTTATATGGACCGGATATCGCGTCGTGCATTCACGTTAGCATAATAACGAGGGATAATGCGTGAGGAAACTTTCTCGAATAGGCACGTGTTTTCCAAACAATTTCGAACTTGTGCGTAATATTGCCGTTTCGCTGCTGCGCGGCCTACACGTCACCGAGAAGTTTGGAAACGAGGTAATCCATAATTGCAGCTACGGCATAGCTTCCCCTAAACAAGCTCCAAAGTACGTGGCCAAAGGTTTATACGCGCGCGACACTGCAGAATATATTGAAAATTTTAACAATTATCCCAAAGAACATTTCACAAAAGAAATGCATATATATGGCATTCATTTTATATAAAATTAAATCTTTGTCATAATGTAGAAAACATATAAATTACCGATAATGTATTAATACATGCATTAATGCATTAATTATACACGAGTTAAAACAGTAATGCATCAGTAATGCGTTTTTGTTAGCACAAATTTTTCACTTAATAAGAACAATACTGAAATATACATATTTGCGTCATTAATGTGATAATAAAATTATTAAATCTATTGTAAACGGATTTAACTTGACATTAATTATTCCATTTTTTGTCTTTTTTTAAATAAATTTAAAGTATTTTAAAAACGACATTTTTCGTCTCTTGTGATATTTTGAAATTAATCATTTCTTTGAAAGAGAGAGAAAGAGAGAGAGAGAGAGAGGGAGAGTTTTCTTAAAACTTTGTTATAGTAGAGTCCAAAGTATCAGTTGGATTCATCGATCCCTTTCTACACAACTCTACTCTCCACGACTTGTCCAGAATCCCTCGGTAAAGCAGCGCATACGTTGCAAGAACGGCCGACCATCCCCTACAGCTGCCAACCCCTCGAGGGGTGGCTCAGTTCACTCTGACGCGTTAAAAATCTCGCTACGCCCGGTGGTGTTCCTTCGCGTTCCCTCCTGGCAACATCCCTTCGCGCTGAGTGATCGTATATACGGCAATTTCAACGGCGATGTGAAATCTTCGACAACGCGGATCTTTGGAAGTTGTGAGTGGTGTACGATGACGAGGATCGCAATTGCACGGCAAGGGTGGGTTCGGTGTGTCGGGTTGCAAGGAAGGAAATGCAATTATTCGCCAGCGTCTGCGCTTCTATATTGATCCGCGGTGGTGGTGGTGGCGGTGGAGGTACGGCGGTGGTGGCGGCGGCTGTGCTCGCGGCGCGCTCGAGCGTTCGGGTGGGACCATAACCAACCCCACAACGAACCCGCCCAAAATGTATTTTTGCCTGCGTCTCGTGCGGCTATTCCTGATCTCGGCGATTCTGTGCGTCGGTAAGGCCCGTTTCCGGAGCAACGAGACGTAGCTTGGAAAAACTCGCGCGCCATGCGAGGCGATTCGGAACGTATAGGAGTGACCAGTATTATATTTTTTTTTGTTTGACATCCGAGAGAAAGCGAGCGAATGAAAAGTGGAGTGCGTGACGACGGGTCGACGCGGCGTGCGAGTTTTTTCCTCTATAAGTCGCGCGATTTATCTCACGCGCGATTCTGCAGGATCCCGCCGATCGGACGTTTCCGTTAATCCACCGTTGATCCGCCTTACTTGCAGGTCTGTGCTCCGAGGATGAGGAGAGACTGGTACGAGACTTGTTCAGAGGATACAATAAGCTCATCCGACCAGTGCAAAATATGACGGAGAAAGTGCACGTGAGGTTTGGCCTCGCCTTCGTGCAACTGATCAATGTGGTGAGATTTTCGTATCGCACATATAGTTTCACGTTCGCGCGAATTAGCCAGACGACGTTGGAAATTGCATGTTTAAATTATATAGCCGAACGTGTAAACAAAACTTTTTTCCAGTCGCGTAAAAGTCTTTAAATTTTTTCAGAACGAAAAGAATCAGATTATGAAATCGAACGTATGGTTGAGATTCGTATGGAGTGACTATCAGTTGCAATGGGACGAAGCAGATTACGGCGGTATCGGTGTCCTCAGATTACCACCCGACAAAGTGTGGAAACCGGATATAGTCTTGTTTAATAAGTATGAATGTCAGAAAAATTATTTGCACATTTTACTCGACTAACAAGGGAATCTCGCGAAATACTGATTTTAATGAAACTTGATACACTTTGAGGTCACATAAATAGATGAATTTTGAAATTATCAGTTGATGCTAAAAAACGGTTTAAAGGAATGAAACTACTCTTTAAATGTAAATTATTATTTTATTCGTTATATATATCTCGAAAATTATTTAAGATATCAAAAAATGTTTTATGCAAAAGTTTTACAGTAAAATTATCTATTCCTTTACGTTAATAGAATTAAAAAAAAATAATTATTTTCAAAAATTTGTTAAATATAATTATTCTAAAAATATTATTAACAAAAATGAATAGAGGTAATTGTACTGTAAAACTTTTATATAAAACATTTTTTGATATCTTGAATAGTTTTTGAAATAACAAAAAAAAAAGAAAAAATTAATTTACATATAAGGGGTGATTTTATCCCTTTAAACCGTTTTTAGCACCAACTGATAATTTCTAAATTCATCTATTTATGCGATCTCAAAGTGTACCAATTTCGTTAAAATCAGAATTTCTCACTTCGCGAGGTTCCCTTGTAAGAAAATTTATTAATTGTACATAAATCATTTAATCGCATTTGTGTCACTTTTTAAATATCAATATAATAAATCTACTTTTATAAAAATTGAGATATATATTACGTATGTTAATATTAGCATTTAAAGTAGATTATTTTAAAACTGTTTTAAAATAATCCACTTGTTTTAGTCGCGAGTGAGTATACAATGTATTTTTCAATTTTTCAATTAAAGACGTGTCAAAAATTTTAAACATTAAAAATTTTAAATAAAGCATATTATATAAAACTCTTTAATTAAAACAATTAAAGAAAGGCACTCTAAGAGTCAATACGCAGAACTCGTTGCGTTAAAATTTCTCATAAAATTACACTCAGTAAATTAGGTTACATCTTCTTGCACATCTGTCGTACGTTTCAGTCTACTTCAGACCTTCTTCAGCGATGAATACAGTGGAAAAAGTTACGCCATAATTACAAATATTCCGTTCCTAATTGTCACGATGTTCCGTTATGTATGTAACCTGAATTTACTGAATACCTATAATTTTATGAGAAATTTTAACGCAACGAGTTCTGCGTATTGACTCTTAGTGCCTTTCTTTAACTAATTAAAAATTATATATTTTTTTTAATTAGTCATATAAATTTGTGCATTTACGTTTTCAATAATTATATCTGTAACAATTGTATTTTCTTTGTTTATAGCGCTGACGGCAACTATGAGGTTCGTTACAAGAGCAACGTGCTGATATACCCGAACGGCGAGGTGCTCTGGGTGCCGCCAGCAATTTATCAGAGTTCATGCACGATCGACGTAACGTATTTCCCCTTCGATCAGCAAACATGCATCATGAAGTTCGGCTCGTGGACCTTCAACGGCGACCAGGTCTCTCTTTCGCTCTACAACGACAAGAACTTCGTCGATCTGTCTGACTATTGGAAGAGCGGCACATGGGACATCATCAGCGTGCCGGCGTATCTCAACATTTACAAGGGTGATTTCCCCACCGAGACGGACATCACTTTCTACATAATTATCCGCAGGTGCGTTGTTTACATCCAATCTTTGCCAATCTCGCCTTCGATTTATTAATTGCTCTGTAATTAGTATTCTATATAATTATAATGCGGTACTTTAATTACATAATAATTCTACACTACTGAGCGTATATAAACGTTTGTATTGCTTCTACAGGAAGACCCTCTTCTACACGGTGAACTTGATACTGCCGACAGTTCTGATCTCTTTCCTCTGCGTGCTCGTTTTCTACCTTCCGGCGGAGGCCGGTGAGAAAGTCACTCTGGGCATTAGCATTCTTCTATCACTGGTCGTGTTCCTCCTGTTAGTCAGCAAGATCTTGCCACCGACCTCGCTGGTGCTGCCATTGATAGCTAAATATCTGCTCTTCACCTTCATCATGAATACTGTCAGTATCCTCGTGACTGTGATCATCATCAATTGGAACTTCCGCGGGCCGAGGACTCACAGGATGCCTCAGCTCATACGCAAGATCTTCCTTAAATATCTGCCAGCGATCTTGTTAATGAAACGACCAAAGAAGACACGATTGAGGTACGAATTTTCTTTTCGAGAGACATTATTAATCGGAATAATTGTAATGCATGCAATAATAAAAAAATGTATACCAACTGAAAATGCAAAATAGCAATAAATTGACATCAATTTAATTGGACATAAAGATTACCTGTATAAACATATTTAATATAAATTTTAATCAATTAAATATACCGAATCATTGTAAGAATTTTCAATTTATTTCAAACACTAATTGAATAAACGGTTTTATCACATCGTCAGATGGATGATGGAAATACCAAACGTAACACTGCCAGCTTCCACATACTCGGGAAGTCCGACCGAGGTGCCAAAGCATCTGCCAGCCTCCCTGGCGAAATCGAAGATGGAGGTGATGGAGCTGTCCGATCTTCATCATCCAAATTGCAAGATTAATCGTAAGGTTCATCACACCACGAGCAGCTCCAGTGGTGCTGGAGCAGGGGAGGGTATGGGCGATAGGAGAGGATCCGAGAGTTCGGATTCGGTCCTGCTCAGCCCGGAAGCCAGCAAGGCCACCGAGGCCGTGGAGTTCATAGCGGAGCATCTCAGGAACGAGGACTTGTACATACAGGTGATGACTCTCGCAATTTCCTTTCACGCAAGTGATACACTTTTGTGGACTATATTTATATATAAATGATACACTTTTATGAACTATATATGCAGGGTGTCACAATAATTATTTCCACTTAAATATCTTTGAATCTGTGAGGTTCAGAGGAAAATTTATATTTAAAATTAACCAACTATTAATTACTAATTATTGCACAGACCTCTAACTATTCTGCATATAAAAGTATTAAGATACAATTAATTGTACAGATAATTTTATAAGAATAATTAGAGGAATCATATTATTAAAAAAATTCATATAATTTGATTTAAAAAGTAAAGTTGACCTTAAAATCTCCGAATCCTCTACCTGAGCAAAAATTATTATTGCCATATGATAGTCCCCTTCGTACCGTGCAAGTTGGTTACATAAATTTTCCTCCGAACCTTATAAATTCGAAGATATTTAAGTGGAAATAGTTATTGTGACATCCTGTATAACCGCTAAATACTCTCTTCCAGACAAGGGAGGATTGGAAATACGTCGCAATGGTGATCGATCGACTGCAACTTTATATATTCTTTATAGTGACGACCGCGGGTACCGTCGGGATCCTAATGGACGCGCCTCATATTTTCGAGTATGTGGACCAGGATCGTATCATAGAGATTTATCGCGGAAAATAATCCGACTTGCCCCAACGAAGCGCAATCACAAATAAATATGCCATCTCGTTACGACCGTTCTCATTTCGTCTCCTTCGACTTCACAATATTCGCCGCAGAATAACGAATAATTTCGTCATTTCAATTGTAAGCGTGAAACGTTTACAACCCCAAGCGACTGTTTGACAAGCAATTATTTTTTATACCTACAGATTTTTATGAAATCCCGAAGCGAAGTACAAATTTATTTGACGAAACGTCTGGATACAATCTTCCGCCACTGTGCCCATACGTATTTCGATTTTGTGCAATTGTACGATTGCAATATCCATTGCAGACTTGTCGCAGCTCTCCCAATGACGAAACTCGAGCGATCGAAATGGCATACATTATGTACGAGTAGATAATAATTCCACTAGTGTTAATCATGGCTGCCTCTGCGATTATTGTCTTCCCCGATGCCATTAACTTCCGGTAGCTCCATTGCAACACGCTTAGACGAAGGATTAACGAAACGACTATCGAATGGTTCTCATTCTTCATTTTACCGAAGAAATAAGGTATTTCCAAAGTTTTGCAAACACGAGAAGTCGTACTACTAACTGTATAACTGATTACTTGTCAACTTTGTAATTTTTACAAGATCATATTTTGTTAGCAATGGCATTTCTATTTAATTATTTACAGTTTTTTTAATTAGAAAACTTGCTTAAAATTTGGAGAGTTTACTCAGATAAATATCATATTGCAAAGAATTTTAAATTACGCGATAAAATATAACTGGGTAAATTTTTGCGAGAAAGAAAGAATTTGACTTAATTGATTTCCGACTCGAAACGCACTGTTTCACTATTAATGACATTTTGTACAGTAATTATGAGTATTGGAAATACCATGATTGCTCCTTTAAACGTGTAGTTACCACGTAACACACTTAATGTTAAACGATGAAGTCCGCTTGTGTAGCATTATATATCGTATCTAGAAAAAAAAAACGGAATTAGTTGATGGTAATTTGACAAAATTACTGTAATATATTAATGTAACGATGGTACGCACAAACCTGTTTAGTCAACTTATCGATATCTCTTAATTAGAAATACAAATAATCCAATAGTCTGGTAAGTTAGGAAAGTATATAAAACGAGTAATATTATTTATCATAAAGTAACTCAAAGTTACAGGAGTTCACGTTTAACATTAAAAATTATGTAAAACCATCGCGTATTTTTCTAGGACCATAATTTCATCGCAATTTATTAAGGTAATTAAAATAGTTTTCCCCTTCTTTTCGCGTTTACGTTACTACACGCCATGTACGCGCGTTTGGCGTGCCTATATACGTCTATATACGTTAGTGTTAAACGTGTGGAAGAAAGACAGTCCCCCCCCCCCATATTTAATCTCTCGATCATAATTTTAACGATCAGCTTCCAACCAAATCGATCAAATTCTCGATATCAAAGTTACAAATCTCCGCATAAAATAAGAATCGAAACACGTTCTTTACGACGCGCGACGCGCATCCACACGCGGATGCTCAATTCGCGATAATGTTTTTAGATATAAGTTTGAAATAATTTTGATAATAATCGTGCAAGTCGTAATTTAGTCGATTTCGCGTTTGATACTCGTGTCGTGGCATTGATCGTAAATATTGATAGAATCGCGCGACACGATCTTGACACGTTCGTTAAACATACGAATGAGCTCGTAGTAACGAATTTTACGCGAGCACGAGACGTTGTAAATTAATTTCATTACGAAGGAGATGCGCTCGTATCTAATCGATGATCTCCGGAAGACTCGCGGAAGGCCAATGCAAATCAAGGCATCCTTAATACAAAAATAATTTTTGAAATACACACAAAAGTCTAATCAGCAAAAGAAAATTGACCGTATCCTTACTGACCGTAAACAAAAATTGCCTCTTGACTTGTAATTGGTCTTCTTAAAAAATAAGTAAATAAATAGCTCATGCTCTCATATCGCGCATTTACACGAAAATATTCTGTATGTGTATAAACAGTACTGAATATTGCTTAATACATTATTTAAAACATGTAAACATAATTTACGTCTCTTTGATTGTACTTTTTTGCCATTAATTTTTTTTCTAACAAGATTAACAAGATACACAAGATTGATAAACATCTTTGACTCAGATACAATTTATAAAAAAAGAGTTGTTTTAATGAGTAATAAGTAATTAAATAAATTAAAAACAAATAGCTACATGATTAATTAAATGCGGGATGAGATTATGAGCCAATCTATTGAGCCAATAATTATACGCATTAACGCATATTAGGAAGCACGATTCTTTGCCCTAAGAATGCCGTGCGTGTAATAGAACCGTAGCCGTGCTTATCGTATACATTGTACAGAGAGACTGTTAAACGGTCAAGTTTTCGTTAATAAAGAACGTTCAGTCCGGAAGAAGGTTGCAGTCGACTGTTGGATATCGAGGATTTTGTTACGAGCAGTAAAACAATCGAAGAAAATATTATGTCCCATACTTCTTAATAATTTTATGCAGCTGCAATTTCTTGCAGTACCTCTTGGCATATTAATACCTTATAGAAGTTTATAGTATTTATAAATTCCCCCTAGTAGCATTTCTGCTGTTTTCTGCAAAGCAAAATCTGCGTGCAACTAATTGCATCAGAATTTAGCAATCTGCTGCAAGATTTGCGCACTGTACATGCAAATAAATTGTTTGCAGATACTTGCTACAGAAATCGAGCTATCTTGAAGCAGATTCTTCCCGTAACTGTGTGCAGTCTGCAAACAATCTGTTAATAACAGTCCGTCAGCAGACCGATATAAAATTCTTTTAATAGATTCTGGCGAAAGAATAATACAATTCTTGCAGTAGATATTTGACATATTCTGCCAGCGCAGAATGTTATTCTGCTTTCTCAGAGTTTACAGCAGTCTTGCGACAAATTGCTACTATAGGGCCTTTTTTTGTTTTTACAGTTCGCCAAAAGTGAACGATTTATTCGGTTTATGTCGAATTGTTAGTTGACCTGCAGTCTCGCAAAATTTTTTAATGTACCAAGCGGCATCATTGCGTGCATTAGCAGTTATCCCGTTTGACAAAGTTAGTGTTATAATGTCACGGTTGCTGCGACAGTTTCTTCAAACGCATCTAAATCTGTTGTTACATAAGCCGATCGTTGTGTTTATTGAAGTAAAAAGTAAAATAATTTTAGACTTACTTGAAGACGCTTGATAACGACAGGATAAGAAGACGCGGAACCTTAAAATATGGCAAGATGTCCTCTTTATAATTACTTGCGTCAATCTTAGCAAATTTGAATGTGTGGAATACGAGGTTTACTATATTTTAAATGAAATTTTATATGTAGATTCTTCTCGTTTTCTGTAAATCGAATCCATTAACTTGGCAATCGATAACATTTACTTGGAAATTTTATTTCGATTGCAAATTCTGTATTTAAAATAAGTTTACGTTGCAACGTAGTTTATTAAAGGAAAGTTTATGTACATCCAGATTTATCGACGTTATAGTGTTTCGTTGTTATATATTGCCGTTACTTATTGATAACGTATGCCGTGTCTTCCTGGAAAGAAATACAATAATTAAAATTTAGAAACCAAGCACATATACTGGCATATTCCGTTTTGTTCCATCCCTCGCGTGTCAATATAGTGTTTCGTGTAATTTATTCGGCGCGATTTACCGCAGAACAAAATAACGATGGACGAGATTCGAGCCTGTGCATATGATGTCCTTTATCTATACTGACTGCGGAAAGGAAGACGATCGTATCAGCGTATATGTACCATAGTTTTACTTTTGCGCATGAAAAACAAAGAACCGAAAATTGTTGAATCGAAAAGTTTGTACTTTATTATATGCATGATAAATAACATAGTGATTATATATTCGTGCATTACTGTATGTTGGTAGGTAAAAAGAGAAATTTAACATAAAAGTTAAGTAGTCCTTTTTATAATGAAATAATGCATCAATAAAACTCATGGAATTTTATGTACCTTCACGTTTATTATGTGTCTCGACTGATGATCTCATGGTTTCGCGTTTCGCAGCATTAAATGTACCGAATTGCAACTCTGTGTCGCAATTGAAAGCAAACATTGAAGCATCGAGCATAGCGTTTTTCTTTTTCTCAAATCGAGCCGATACAGAAAACCTGTTGCAACAACTCAAGCAATCGAAGGAAAAGAGGGGAGGGAGAGGGGGAAATGGAAGACGTTTATTTTCATTTCATTTATTTCAACAATTTCATAATAACGTAATAATGTTAATAATATTACAATGCGGCGATTACAGTGCTCACCAGTTAACAGGGATTCTCATATCGATCAACGTTGCCTCGAAAAGGAGCCCAGCGTAGAAATATAACAAATTTTTATTCACGCTCTCTTATATCTCCTCCGCGGTATGGATTTACTATTATCGGACCAGGCTGTTATCGGAGGCAATAATTAAAAGTCAAGTGTGAGATCGGGTGAGTTCAGTTCAATTGCATCGTCCCACCAGGGTTTCTACGGAAACAGTAACATTTTTCCACTTTGTTATCCTCGCTCTTCTCTCCCTCCTCGCATCTCTCGATTGACGATCGATAACGCGCATCTTAAGTTTGTCGATCTTTAATTGTAACGATGGATAATACGAGGCGATTTCGTTCTTCTTTTTTTTTTAAGTACATAAGGAATAAAGATATAGAGAGGTAATGAAGAGAATTAGATCGCGCTCTACATAGAGGTTTCGGTTTTTTTTTTTCTTTTGAAATCGCATCAGAGCGGCTTTTTAACGTTCTTTAAATTCAATAAGTTAGCATCGAGAGATAATTAAGTTGTAACTTCATCTTTTTTTTTCCATTGTTAGTTTAGAGAGAAAGTGATCTCGATAAAGTTCGACCCTAACTGCTAATAGACTACCTTTGAATCACCCCTATAATTACTGTCAGAGTATAACTACGTCGCTATTGATTACAGACTAGCTTTAATATTCTGTTAATCGATTATTAACCATTTTCTTTTATTCATTATTACGAATATGACTTTAGCATTCAATAGTTTAAATATATATAGTTTATGTTTAGTGGTACATGTGCTTAATAGTTTCGCTTTTATTTATTTATTTATTTGTTTTTATTATTATTTATTATTTTTTTGCGGTAATTTAGAAATTATACTTCTCCCTCGCCGTTTCGCTAATCACCCAGCGCGAATTCTCGTTTCCTTTGTTTCTTCTTTTTTTTTTTAAATCGTTCCTTCTCGTTTTTGATAGGACAACGCAGCTTCCGGTGAAATCGCGCACGATGAGTTAGCTGAGCGAGGATTCGAAAATGAAAGGAAACGAGTATTGCCTACCGGAAATAACTGTGTGTGCATTTTTGCCTTTGTAAAAATTCATTTTTAAATTTAGTTGGCTGTGACGCGTTTTCTTTTTTGTCTTATTTCTGTTCTCTTTTTTGTATGTATATTTTTCTTGCTCGTCGCGTTTATTATGGAATTTTCACGCAAAATATGTAATACATGCACAACTCGAACTCAGGATTTTGATCTCTTCTCTTGTCGGCGATTTCGCGCAGTAAATTCGCATATTGCATTCTACATTTGAGAACATACGGCGATTAAAGAAAACAAATTTAAAGCTCTATTAAAGAAAAAAATTGTACTTTTGTTTGCAAACGTTATCTGTTTTAGGTTGCTCTTTATTAAATCGATGTTATTATATATCTAACACCTTGTCGGACATTAACAAATTATTTGTTTTTTTTTTTACTTTTGATATCGTATCTATCTCCTTATTTCGAGGAACTTATCGGCAAAGAGTAACGAAGGTCATCTTCGTTATTTTCTTGCAGGACACGATTTGGTAAATTAAAACGGCGAAAAAACAAATCGACAGGACCTCCCTCTAAAATCTACAACAATTCGCGGGGTCTCCTCGGAGCCTCGTAACGAATTAATTCGTAATCGAATTTTACGTGTTATTCCGCGTTGACCTCCCGCACGTTAATTTATACACTCCTATATTTCAGCCCTATTCGCGTACGCGCTCGCTCGTACAGCGCGCCCGTTTATACGCTTTTAAGGATTAGCTAAAAATTTGGCACTTGAACTTACGCATCACCTAATCAGTTAGTCTAATTAATTAATTCGCCGCCGTTGTAAAAAGAGATACGCGCGCGCACGCGAGCGATACCTTAATTTAATCTCCGATTTTTTTTTCTACACCTGGTTCTCCCGCATTTCGCCTGTCCGCGTTATAATCGTCCGGTCAACCCGGGTTGATTGATCATTTTGGGTGATGCTTTACAAACAATGGCACAGTGTGGAATTTACACGCAAACCTTATCCCCGAGCCGCGCCGGCGAAACGATTCGATGATTCGATAACGTGATACACTCGAGATCCGCGTATAGCTGTGTGGCCGCGCGCGAGCTGCGGCACGAAAAGCGTCGTTTTGCTCTCACGGCTATTCCGCCGCGATGGCCTCTGACGAGCCGTAAATACGATGGGCGTAGTTTTATCGCGAAATCGCGTCATATACATATATACATATATATATATATATCCACACGCGATTGTTCCATCAAGAGCGATCTAACCCGAGAGATTGGATGCACGGGCTTTCCAATCGGAAGAATATCGAAAGAATGCCCTTTGTGCCGGCTATTAGTCTAACTATTGTATTCCCATCCGATCCAAAATCCGCTCGCTTGCAATAGTGTTTGTACTATTCCCGTGAGATTCGCGTACAATATTTTTTTTTTGACAATGCGGAGGGGGAGGGGGATAACATATTTTTATAATAACGCGTAGCTCTTTTTTTAAGGCAATCGTTGCGTTTCTCGGTCCCTGCCAGAATCGCATCTCTCTCTCTCTCTTTTTTTCTCTATGCATAGAAATTTACTTTAAGAATTCAATGCAGTGATCGATAAGCATAACGACGCGATTCGTGTAACGAGCAGCGATATCCTACGCGGACGCGATATATCTCGTTTCGCTTAATTTAACAACGGGGCTGAGCGCGAGCAACGATTTACACGCTATACGTGTCGTCGATATAATTAAACCTCTCTGTCGCGTTATGTATAATATAATATATAATACATGTATATACTGTTGCTATATACATGTATGTATAAAGAGCGAGTCTAATAAGAAACGGGCAAAGGGGATCCTCCGTCGATCTTCCGAACGTCTCCGCCGATCCGAAGCCGGGCCCTCTTCGAAAAGTCAGACGTGTGTGTTATTTAAAAAGTTGAAAAGCGTAAATTGCCACTATTTTCTCTTCGGCGCATCGGGTCCCTGCACTCTGACTGTGATGTAACGAAGATCACGTGACGATCATTCTCCCGCGCTAGTGTCAACCTCACCAACTCGCCCCTCCATCGAAAGCGCGTCGTGCGTGTGAATAATTTATTATGAAAAATTCACACTGTCTCCGCAAAAAGTCAGCACACAAATTGACGCGTTCGAGAAACGCACCGCTCACGCGGGTCGATCGATTGGATCGAGTAAATCGTAAAATATGCCGATCGCGAAATCGCGCCCCCGATTACGCGGATCAACATACATTACATAAGCGAGTCAGTAATTTTATACGTTGACTTTTAAGTGTCGCGATTTTCATTCCGATCAAATTCCCCATTTTGTTAAATTCTCAGCTATACTCGATCACAATTTCTGCAAATTCACGCGAAACGCACGAACGCAAGTGTAACGTGCGTTTTGATTTGCAGACAAAATTATACGATATCGATTCTCCCTCCCCTTGCCTCTCGGTGGGAGAATTATTTGCACGAGTAAGTCTCTGCAATGATCTCGTCCCATTTCGCCTTTTGCTTTCCGTCGTGCGGCTAGTTTCAGTGCTAGATCTACGAGTTTGCAGTCGTCTAGAGCTTCAACTACTTACATCACAGCGAGCTACTAACGCCGAACAGCCGCGAGCAGTTAAGCGACGACTTTCGTCGAAGCATACGATCATACTCCCCTTGAGCGATATTGGTGCAAACGGGATCCGGTTTCTCGCGCGCCTCGAGACACGACATCTTTACAGCGACGGTCTCTCGCGAGAACTTTGTTGCAACCGGGATGCAACTCGTCAGCTACACTAGGCGACTAATGGCGGAAGACTTTGGCATGCTATAGTATAATAGACCTTACGATAAAAGTTACACCCGACGAACAGAGAGTGGCCGTCGATTCTCTCTCTCTCTCTCTCTCTCTCTCTCTCCCTCCCTCCCTCTTTCTCTCGCGCGTTTAATTAGAGGTAGTATTACATATATCAAGAAGTATTTTCGTCGTCAGCCGCTTAGAGTCATCGGGAGATTGTCTTGACACTTAAACGACAGGCATATAATCGATGAGCAATCGTAATTATTTTCTATCGGTAAGTCCTTAGGTAAAGTCGCTTAAAACGATCGAGTAATTAAACAGTCGAGTGAAACAGGCTAGAAGTGCTAATGAAACTCGCACACGGCTTAACTCGTTATAGCCCCGTATTGTGTATAGCGAAATACGAGAGAGAGTTTACTTTACTTAAGGAGTGTTTCTTTCTTTTTACACACAACTGATGAAAAATTTACGTTCTTTTTATTTTCAGGGTATAACGGGTTAATTTCCAACGCCACGACGGAAGTTGTTGCGCTCGGCGCGATGAAACGAGACTCACCGTCGAATTTCGGGGATCGGATTTATCGATTTCAAATTGGTAGTAGCGTCCTAATGATATTCCGCGATATCTGCTTTCGATCACCTTGTTTCCCCAGTTCTCTCTTGCTTGACTTGATTGACGGACGAAACGTTCGAAAGATCCCTCATCTCGCTCTGCCACAAATTTTTTTCTTTTCTTCACCCTGTACATCTGCGCCACTACGATATCCTATAAGCCTATCAACCTTCGTTTAGTTAACTCGTATATTTATTTTTCTCCTCCCTTCCTCTCTGTCCGCCACAACTACTCCTTAATTTGGGAACGATTCGATTCGCGATCGGAAGTCGACTTAATCGTATA